GTGTGTGTGAGAGAGAGAGGCGCATTTCCCCTTTAAGTACACTGCCTTGTTAATTAGATCAGCTTGCTGAGACCTCAGCTGCTGCCAGCAAGCTCCTTCCCTCCCTGAACCCTGTCGTGTGTCCCCCCTGCTCTATGGAAGATGGGGTAAGCGGGGTGCAGGAGCGGGGAGGGCACACCCTGACCATCCCCCCTCTCCTCCTCCCCCCCCACCAGCAAGCAGGAGTCTCGGGGAGCAGCTCCAAGGCAGAGGGCAGGAGCAGCACATGGCAGTGGGGGGAGGGACAGCTGCAATTGCTAGCCTGCTGGGCAGCTGCTGTACAGGGAACTTAGGGAAGCAAGGACTGATAGGGGGAGCTAATAGGGGGGCTGCCAGTCCACCCTGGTTCCAAGCCCCCTCCAGCTAGCTGCAACAGGCCGCTCGTCCTGCAAGCAATGGACAAAGCAGGTGGCTGCCAAACGACGTTAGTAGGGAGCATTGCACAACTTTAAATGAGCATGTTCCCTAATTGATCAGCAACGTAACAAAGAAACAACATTAACCGGGACGACTTTAAGCGAGGAGTTACTGTACTTGAAAATTGCCTCTTCCCTCACAGATCTTGAAAGCCTGGAAAAGAGACCGGCTCCATCAAACCGGATGGCATCTGTTCCCGTTGAAAATTCCCAGCCTCTCACAATGTTCAAACCTCAGGGCCATGAAGCCTCAGGTAGGATTTGTAAAGCAGGACTTCTCTGTATTGAGTCATATTCTTATATGATATTTGGATGCTGATCCAAGTTATACATGAATACTGGAATGGATAATAGAAGTACCTAATAAACTGTCTTTCTAATTCGAGTAGTGTCCCAATGGGTGTACTACTGTAGGCGTACTTGCGTTAGGGTGACCAGATGTCCCGATTTTATAGGAACAGTCCCGATATTTGGGGCTTTTTCTTATATAGGCTCCTATTACCTCCCACCCTCTGTCCTGATTTTTCACACTTGCTGTCTGGTCGCCCTAACTTGTGTCCCTAAGCTGCTGATTGGAGCATTTCGGTAGCAGTATCCATTAGGCCCACACATGTACTCTCTCTCCTCACGCCCTGCCATGAGGGTAGCCAGTGCACGTGGGCTAACCCCCCTCAGTTGCTTCTCAACCGCCCCAGCTAGAGACAGAGCTGTTAGCTGTCCATTAGTGACTATTATCTCATCCTTTTCTTTGTAGCCTAGAGCTTTATTTTTAGTAGTAGTCAGTCTAGTGTCTTTATTTTTTACCTTATCTTCTAATACATATATATTTAGATATTTTACTTTTTTTTCATTCCCACCCTTCTCACTGGGGGCTCTTCCCCCACTGGGGTATGTCTGGTTATCCAGGTTTCAAGAAGTGCCTCTCATGCAACGAGGCTATCACCGTCGCAGACACGCACTCACGGTACATTCGTTGGCTCAGGGAAGGACATGTCCCTCAAAATTGTGCTCTCTGCCAGTATCTTAGACCTTGGTCTCGCAAGCACAGAGAGCTGAAGCAGAAGATTATATTCATGGAGGTGGCGCTCAGACTTTCTCTGGACCCGTGCCAAGAGTCTCCAGGCAGATCCAAGGGCTATGGGGTGAAGAAATCAGCTGCCAACTGCGCTTATAAGTCAAAAAAGAGAGCGGGAAATCCTCACAGTGAGCCACGAGCTAGCTGCAAATGATCCCCAGCACGCTTGGTATCCTCAGTACCGTCAGCACTGAAATAGGCCAAGCCCAGTATCTACAGCTCAAGAAAGACTATTGCGGCAGGTAACATTGATGCACCCACAGACCCAATGGGCACGAGCACCAAGTGAATGGTACCTAAGAAGAAGAACAGGAGCAAACACTGCAAGGCACCACTGATATGGTGATGCCCCATCGGTACAATGCTTCATCCAGTACTTGAACAGCCGGTGTGGACAATATCTCCATCCCCCCTGGCACTGCTAGTGGCATCGAGCCAACTGGCACCACCACAATTCCAGCACTCAAGAGACCTCCGTGTAATGATGTGCTAGAGTCAAGTCTCCTCTCTTCAGTACTGGGACCTCCACACAGAGCCTCCGTCTGGCATGGGAGTCTTCCCTGCTGCCTTGCCATGCACTCCTGCTTTCTAGAGCGGATTCAGATAGGGAGCTGGAGGAGGGAATATCTTAGTACACCTCCCAAGCCCCCTAGGGTGCCCAATACCAGCAGGGCCCCCAAGCATATCCTCAGAAGACCCCATCATCATCATCCTGGAACGGCCATCCATTGGCACCATCACTGGATTCCGTGCCACCCTCCACCCCAGTGGCCCTACTGGAACGACTGGGCTGCATACTGCCCCGTGCCTCTCAGGTTTCTAGTCCCACCCATGAGGCCCCAAGTCACGCTTCCTCAGCCACAGTGTTCAGGGCCCTGGAGCCCCCAGAAGAAGTCCTGGAGGAGTGTGAGGGTGATGCTGAGGAGGCAGTGACCCCTCATCCTCCTCCCCAGACAAGACGGTCATGCCTCCCTCACAATCCTTGCTGGATCATTTTCGCCTATTCCAGGATCTCACAAAGAGAGTGGCTGACTCTCTCCAGATACTGCTGGAGGAAGTCAAGGACACACACTACAAGCTCCGGGACATCCTCCACTGATCTTCCTCCTCAAAAGTTTCCCCCCTATCAATGAGACTCTTCTCGACCCTGCAAGAACCATGTGGCAGACCCCAGCTTCAGTCACACCAACTTGCAAGAGAGCAGACAAAAAGTCCTACTAGTGCCAGTGAGAGAAGTAGAGTTCCTCTTCTTCCACCCTCTACCGTACTCCATCATGGTGGATGCTTTATTTCTCATGGCTGTCAATATCACACGAGGTCCACTCCCTACGATAGGGACTGGAAGCATCTGGACCACTTTGGAAGGAAGGTGTACTTCTCAGTCACAATTCAGTTTCGAGTTACCAACTATCAAGCCCTCATGGCGAAATACGATTCCACAAACTACTCAAAACTGAACAATTTTACTGAGCAGCTGCCCGAGTTGTATCACAACCAATTTAAGGCCATCATTCAAGAGGGGCAGATAGAAGCAAAGACAACAATACAGTCTGCCCTTGATGCTGCCGATACTGTAGCCAGATCCATCTCCATGGCGGCGGTGATGCGGTGTGTCTCTTGGCTCCATTTGTCGGGTTTCACAAAGAAGGTGCAGTCAACCTTCAAAGATCTTCCGGGCAGCAAGCTCTTTGCGGAGAAAACCAATGCCTCCCTTCATACTCTGAGGGATTCTTTGGCCACTCCCCATTCGCTGGTCATGTGCACATTGGGACAAAAGAAGAAATTTAGTCTGCAGCCCCAACATAAACTCTTCACCTGCCAGTACCCAGCTCAATGATACTACAAGCTGCAGAGGAAGAAAATTAAATTCTCAAGACATAAACCATCTGGTCAGCAATCTTCCTCATCCCAGCCATTCATGTCCAAACACCAATTTTGATATGTTGGTCAAGATGCCAGCAGACCACTCTCTGCAACTCTTACAACAAACCATCACTACCCACCCATTTGGCTACCGTCTGGCAGCTTTCTGCAGCACCTGGGAGTACATAACATCAGACTGATGGTTTCTAGAGATCGCTATAGGTACTCTCCATTTTACCTCTTTGCCTCCTCCACAATACCTTGCCCCGTCCCTCTTCAGGGACCCTTCTCACGAGAGTTTACTACAATAAGAGGTAGACCCTCTCCTCCATTTGGGAGCCATACAACCGGTACCTCAACATCTATGAGACAGAGTTCTACTCTCTGTATTTCCTAATACCCAAGAGAAAGGGGGGCTGGAGACCCATATTAGACCTTAGAGCTATCAACAAGTTTGTCACAGTTCAGAAATTCAAGATTGTCACTTTAGCAACAATCATTCCAGCTTTAGAATGGGAAGACTGGTTTTCGGCCCTCAATCTTCACGATGCATATTTTCACATCTCAATCCTACCGACTCTCAGACGATTTCTCAGATTCACTCTGGGCCAAGACCACTGCCAGTACAGGGTGCTCCCTTTTGGGTTATCATCAGCCCTGAGAGTATTTTCCAAGGTTCTCTCAGTAGTGGCTGCCCAGTTATGCACCAGGGATCACGGTCTACCCTTACCTAGACGATTGCCTCCTCAGAGCTTGGCCTCTCCAAGAGACTCACCGAGTCACCGAAGCCACAGTTCGCTTGTTTACAGAGCTGGGCCTGCAGATCATTGCTCAGAAATCAACCCTCACTCCAGTGCAGCGCCTGGAGTTTATAGGGGCCAACCTCGACACACTATGGGCCAGAGCCCTCCTACCTCAGCACAGGTCTCTCTCTCTGACTACACTCACAAAGACCATTCAAAACAGCCCACAAATATTAGCCAGACATTTCCTACAACTCTTAGGGCATATGTCAGCGGGCACAGTAGTAATACCTCACACCAAACTTCACATGCAGTGCCTTCAGATGTGGTTCAGTTTGGTTTACAGACCAAACAGAGACAGACTAGACAAACCCCTGTCACTACCCACCAGGGTCAAAATCTCCCTAGACCGGTGAAAAGACCCAGCCAACATTTGCAAAGGGGACCCCCTTTGCCGAAAAACTCCGTCATTGCTTCTCAACACCGATGCATTGCTCATAGGGTGGGGCACACATCTAAATGACCTTACGACACAAGGAAAATGGTCACCCGCTGAGATCTCTCTCTCCATCAACCTCCTCAAGCTAAGGGGGGTCAGGAATGCCTGTGTCTACTTCCTCCTGCTGATCAAAGGGTCACACATGAAAGTATTAATAGACAATGTTGCCTGTATGTTCTACATAAATCAACAAGGGGAGTTGGGTCTCCTTCCCTCTGTGAGGAAGCGATGAGACTGTGGAACTGGTGTATCTCCCACAACGTCACACTGTCAACAGCCTACCTCCCGGGTACACAGAACTCGATGGCAGGCAGTCTGTCACAGATTCCTACATGACCACGAGTGGGGACTAGACTCATTAGTACTTCACGAGCTATTCAGGCATTGGGGGACACTGACCACAGATTTGTTCACCACTTACCTGAGCAAGAAATGTTCACGCAACCCCTTCCAGAGCAGGGATAAGACAATACTCCCTAGGCAATACTTTCCTCCTCCCTTGAAACAGGGACTTCCTGTATATCTTCCCTCTCTTTCTCCTGCTATCGAAGGTCCTACTGAAAATAAAAAGAAAGGGAGCATGTCATTCTAATCGCTCCTGTGTGGTCGAGACAGACCTGGTACCCTTACCTGTCAGAGCTTGCAACATGCCCTCCAATCTCTCTCCCACTCACTCTGCACCTCCTCTTCTAGAATAAAGAACATACCCTACATCCCAACCTGGTGATTCTCCACCTCAAGGCATGGCTCCTTCTTAGTTCAAATGCCTAGAGAGCACCTCTTCGATGGAAGTGCAAGAGGTATTATTACACAGCAGAAAATCCTCAACACAGCGTTCTTAACTGCAAAAATGGTCCAGCTTTTGGATTTGGTGTACGTCCCGACAAACGTCTCCCCGACATCCACAACCTTTCCACACATCTTAGATTATGCACTGGCCATGAAAAACGGGGGCTGTGTATAAGCTCTCTTAGAGTCCACTTAGTGGCTTTAACAGCCTTTCACCATCCAGTAGAGGGGTACTCAGTTCTGTCATACGCGACTACCAAAAGGTTCCTCAAGGGTATAGTAAACCTCTTTCCACAAACTCGGCTTCCCACTCCCATATGGGACTTAAACCTAGTACTGAAAGGACTGACCAGGCATTCCCTTCAAACCCATGGTCACTTGTTCACTTACTTACCTCTCAATGAAAACGGCCTTCCTGATTGGGATTACTTTGGCCAGGAGAATAGGAGAAATAGCAGTTCTGATGGCACATCCCCCCTATACCGTATTCTTTTGGAACAAGGTTACACTCAGACCACATCAAAAATTCATCCCTGAGGTAACCTCCCCATTCCATATGAACCAATTGATTCATCTTCCAACCTTCTATCTTAAGCCTCACTGAGACAACAGTGAGGTGATATTACATACCTGAGATGTCAGAAGGGCCCTAGCCTTCCAACCGGACAGAATGAAGGCCTTCAGGAAGTCCCCCAGATTTTTCGCGGAAAGGTCCAAGGGCTTGGCAATATCAGCCCAAAGGCTTTCCAAGTGGGTCTCGAACTATATCAGACAAGTTAGCAATATGACCCCTCCAGATACTGTTTGTACACACTCCATAAGGTCATCTCCTCATCTGTTGCCTTCTTCAAGAATGACCCTATATCAGAAATCTGTAGAGCAGTGACATGGGCATCAGTCCATACCTTCGCAGAACATTATGCGATCACTGGGGACTCTGCCTCCTCGGCTCCACAGTACTGTCATCTGTAACTAACCCGACTCTGAAGTCCCAGGCCTCCATATGGGTACGGCATAGGAGTCACCTACAGTGGAGCACTTATAGGAACACTACTTGAAGAAGAAGAAGAAGTTGTTACTCAGCTTGTGCAGTGATGATGGTTCTTTGAGATGTGTTCCCCTGTGGGTGCTCCACAACCCATCCTCCTCTCCTCTACTTCAGAGTACTTATCAATGACTCTGTAGTAGAGAAGGAACTGAAGAGGCTTAGCCCACATGCGTTGGCTAGTCTTGTTGCAGGGCACGAGGAGAGAGAGTCATGTGCAGACCTAATGGACACTGCTACCGAAATTCTCCAATCAGCAGCACAGGGATGCAATTACACCTACAGTAAAGCACCCATAGGAGGAGACATCTCGAAGAGCTATCGTTACTGCACAAGGTGAATAACTTCTTCTTTATGAAGAAAAAGGTTTATTAACACTTAATCAGTAATAAAGCTCTGTGGTGCTTTTATGTAATAAAACTAGCCCTTGACAGGATTTCAGTTCTGTGTCAATGGCTCTGCAGGAGGTTGGGGAAGGCAGGGAATGGAGGCAGCTGGCACGTGTTCTGAAGTCTCAATCATGTGGCATTTCGTTGTCTATATTATTTTAGTGTCTGCTCAGCAGCCGAAAACTGTGCTGGAAGCTTTGCAGCAGAGGTTGGAGAAATACAGATCCGCAGCAGCGCAGGCCAAAGCAAGTGGGGATGATCGGAAAGGCAGGATGCATGAGAGGATAGCCAAGGTAACAGGGAAGCACAGCAAGTAGCTTGGCTTCTGGAGCTGGCCAGCAAAGCATTAAAGTATTTGAAATCATTTGTATATATTGTCCTGCCAGTTGGAATGAGCTAAAATAGTTAAGCTGCTGCCCCTTCCTGCACTCATCTCTGTATCAATGAAATGCTTTATAAACTGTTCACATATAACCCCATTGAAATTCAGTGCTTCTTCAAGGCAGAACAGTGGGGGGGATGGAGACCTTTTGTCCAAAGACACTTGTGCAAACCCCTACGTGGATATGGCGTTTTACTCCTCCATGTAGAACCTTGGTCTTTAAGTTCCCATCCAGAGAATTCCTGCCTTGTAAATTGCCTATAGAATGTAGTGCTGACATAACTGACTGGAGGCTGAGCGTCTGAGGAGTGGATCTTTAAAACATGATGTTTAGACTCCTCAGCCATCCCTTCTGTCTGCATAATAGACTTTAAATCCAGTGTAACCTTTTTGATGCTGTTTCTCGTGTGCCACTGCAGAAGGCAGTGGGGCTCCTATGAACGTGGGAGCGCCAGTCCCCTAAGTGGTTTTCATGGGATGGTGTCTAATGTATATCAAGCAATTTGTACTGGGCTCAATGGAACACAAGCAGTTAATGTGTGAACCTGTTGAAATTGTGGGATGTTAAGGGTTGGGTATTCAGACACTTTTCTCCCATTTCTGTGGGCTTGAGCACAGGGACATAGACATCTAAGGGACCTCTGTTGGGGGTACATCATTAGTGCAGAATTGGAGGCTCATAAAAAAAAGGGGGGAGAGCTGAAAAATTGTCTCTAATTATCCAGTCCTTGGAGTTCTGAGGCTTTTTGTGGACACGCTTCTGCAGAGAAATGTCTTTTGTTCTGTGTTTTGTTTATTGGTGTAGTGTGAGGGAAAGGCTCATTGCCTAGGGCAGTTACTGTCATGCCTGCCTGACCAGTAATGGAATCTCTCTGCACCCTCTGTTCCATTACTGCATAGTCAAGCCTTCCTCAGCAGAGGAGCGTGGGCTGAAGGCAGAACTGGGGATAGGGGGGAGGAGCTGAGGCTAGAGGCGGAGCTGACCTAGAGGCAGAACTGGGGATGGGGGAGGAGCTGGGGCTAGGAAATGGAGCTGGCCAGGAGACAGAGAGGGCCATTCTGAATGAGGGTGGACCGGGGCCGCGGCTGGGGGACAGGGCTGCAGCTTGGGAGGTGGCATCAGGGGCAGAGCTGGGTGGCACTTGTTCCCTGCCCCCCCACATGGGGACTGACCTGGGCTCCCTGTGCACCCCCCCTGAATGTTCAAGGTGCGCCCCATAGTTTGGGGACCACTGGCCTAGGGAGTGGAGAGGCCACTAAGAAGAAAGATGAGAGAGACACTTATTTTGTTCACTGTCTGCATTTGCGGCTTCTGCAGCCCTTCAAGGCCCATGCCGGTCCTAGCAACAAGTGCGGCAAAGATTCATGTCTGTATAGAAAACCTGCGGTGCACAAAGGACTTGGAAAGCAGCACGTGACTTTGTAGCAAAGTACCTTACCTTCTGCATCAATGTTTCTCCTAGTTTGAGCATGAAATGACTGCTAACTTAATAGCCAAGTCCAGCCTATGCCTAACCACATCTCTGATTACAGCAATACCAAGATGCCATAAGAACCCATAAAGCAGGGAGAAAAGTGAATTTTGCTGAATTACCAGTTCCCCCTGGTAAGTGTATATATGAAATACCCTATCACCAACATTTCCCTTATTTGTTACGACCCAGAGGACTTCTGGCAGTATTGCTTCAGAAGCCCATTGAGCTCCTCCTCCTGTTTCACAGTGAGAAGACTGGCTTGGCTCTATGACAGCATTGAAGAATACACTGCAGAACTGCTTATTACGCTTGTTAACTTTTTCACATGGTTGCATATTCTTGGCTAGTGACCTTGTTTGTAAGGAAGTGTGAACATTTGAACAGTGCTCCAGCTGGCCCTACTCAGACAAGTTGGAGAGCATGATTTAACAATAGGCAAGCGCATGAGTGGTTACTCCCTGCCCCATCCGCTAGCCCAGTTTGGGGGAGGGGAAGCACTGGGAATATTTGCTCTTTAGTTTATTTGTAGGGAGTTGTGAAATCCCTGGAGATATTCTAGCAGGTATTTCCAGGTCTACAGTAGGCATAAGTCTATTTACACCTATTAAATATACCTTGCAACACCCTTGTGAGTAGGGCCGTACCAGATTCACTGTCCATTTTGGTCAATTTCACGGTCATAGGATTTTAAAAATAGTAAATTTCATGATTTCAGCTATTTAAACCTGAAATTTCACAGTGTTGTAATTGTCGGGGTCCTGACCCGAAAGAGTTGTGGGGGGTTCATGAGGTTATTGGAGGGGGTGTTGCAGTACTGCTACCCTTACTTCTGCGGTTGCTGTTTGTGGCGGTGCTGCCTTCAGAGCTGGGCAGCAGGAAAGCGGTGGCTGCTGGCCAGGAGCACAGGTCTGAAGGCAGAGCAGCTGCCAGCAGCAGCACAGAAGTAAGGATGGCATGATATGGTATTGCCACCATTACTTCTGCGCTGCTGCCTGCTGAGCTGGGCCCTCAGTCAGCAGCTGCCACTGTCTGGCCATCCAGCTCTGAAGGCAGCAGCGCAGAAGTGAAGGTGACATCGTATGGTATTGCCACATATGGTATTACTTCTGTTCTGCTGCTGGCGGGGCACTGCCTTCAGAGCTGGGCACCTGGCCAACAGCTGCAGTTCTGCAGCCGCCCAGCTCTGAAGGCAGTGCAGAAGTAAGGGTGGCAATACCGTGACCCCCCTAAAATAACCTTATGATTCCCCCCCTTCAACTCTCTTTTGGGTCAGGACCCCCAATTTGAGAAACGCTGGCCTTCCCCATGAAATCTGTATAGTATAGGGTAAAAGCACCCAAAAGACCAGATTTCATGATGGGAGACACGATTTCATCGTCCGTGATGCGTTTTTCATGGTCATCAATTTGTTAGGGCCCTACCTATGAAGAAGGTCAGTGTTGTTATTCCCCAAGGTCAGTTGGGGAAATTAAGACACACAGAGGCAAAGTGACCCAACATGGTCACGTTAAAAGTCAGTGGCAAGGCCAGGAATAGAACCCAGGACTAGCCACACTTCCTTTTTTCTGTTCTCTATACTGTAAGGAATGATCCTGCATTCATAAGGGGATGGATAAGATGGCCTGATAGGAATTCTCTGTCTCTAACTTCAGCTATTCAATATCCTCTATCCTGGTAGTTCCATATCCTGCCGTGTTCATCACTGTATCTGAACACCATGATATCACTCCTTTGATCACCATGCCCAGCTCTCTCTTTCCAGGGGATGTACTTGGCACAGCAACCTATTTTAATCCCTGTGCCAAGTGTTTTAGGTGTCTGTGATGGTTTAATGTGTTTTAAAAAAACACAAACAACCACAACTTGTAAAACATGGCCTGTTTCCTGTGAAATGTCAATGCTTTTAAGAGAAAACTGCTATATGTATAAACCAGTGGGTTCCTAAACTTCTTCACACATCTTGGCTATGTAAATATTTTCCAAATCAGGCTTTTAAGGGCATATGTGACTTACATGAACACCCACTGAAACCAGCAATGTTGTGTTAGGTGTGGAGGATATTTGTGTGCATTTCACTGCATCTGAACTTTGAAAGGTGCCAGACATGACAGCTTTAGAGACAGAAATCCTCTGTTTAGTCATGGATCAGGTGCTGCACAGGCTACTCTGCAATATACCTCAAACCTGCCCTCTCCCCTGGAGTAGCCGTCTCTGCGGTGAGAGAGCGGTTTGGTCTCAGCCAGTCCTTGGTCTGGTTGCTGAGACTACTAACAAGAATGATTTTAGCAATGTGAATGCCATCCAATAGCTATCTTATAGTGGTAACTCTGGTCACTGCTGACCCAGGCTGGATTTGAACTGGTGACTTAGGGTATATCTACACAGCTGACGTTAAAGTGCTGCCGTGTAGTCGCAGCTTCAGCGCTGGGAGAGAGCTCCCCCAGCACTGTAATAAAACCACCTTCACGAGAGAAATAGCTACCAGTGCTATCTACACTGCTGCTTTACAGCGCTGAAACTTCATCGCTTGGGGGCGGGGGGGTGTTACACCCATGAGTGAAGAAAGTTTCAGCGCTGTAAGTGGCAATGTAGACAAGGCCTTAGAAATTAAAGACTGTCTCCCATTATCAAAGCCGTTCACTCCCCTTCAAAAGGACTAAAAATGGTCAAAAGAATTCTAATGGGTTTAATGTTTCTTTACTACTGTGGTGCTGCTGTTGCTGAAACTGCTGAGCTGCAGTGGGATGTGGCATTGCTCTGACGTTCCAGTAGAGCGCACACAGTCATAGTTATTGGGGAAACAAGGCGTAACAGGGATTGAAGATTACACAGATCAGGATTGGCTGTTCAGGCCTAATCCTGTGTCAAAAAAGCAGCTAGACTGAGAAATCAGTGCATGTCTAACAGTCCAATAATAGTGAAATATCATTGTTAGGAATGTGTAATACCACTGGGAAAGCGAGAATATCAGTTTTCGAATAGTGCATAGCGTTTGTCTCTGCCTTTTGTGATTCATGAGGCATTGACTTCTAAAATTATGTGGGAAAGACTTTCCGAGGGGTTGCTGTTGGATGATGATAAATACTTTCAGAACCATGGCGCTTTTCCAAGCACTGATCCTGAAGGGATGATGACAGAGAGAAAGACTTACATCCCTGGAAAGGGCAAAAGGTACAGAATTCAAGGTTTGTTTTATTTGGTTGTTTTGAACCATATCTCCTTCCGTCTCAGGATTCCCCCCCATTCCTGGTGTGACACCCACAGATGGCGACAGTACAATAGCTGCCGTGCTGGAAAGCGCCAGCCACCTGGCTAACATGGAGGAGAAAGAAGATGAAGATGAAGAGGTGGAGGTTTGAATTACTTACCAATATGTATAATTAAAAAAAAAAAACATATCTTCTTGTGGGTGGAGAAGAAGCTATTGGATTTCCAGCTGGGTGAGATATTGCAATAAAATACCTTTCTTCTGGAAGCCAGAAGAGTACAGCATTCCTGTCTCCTGGGGAGACTGTAAGAATCAGCTGGGAGTGTAAAGGAGGGGTTATCTTTTGATGAGGTGAGAATTGCAGAGTTCATCCTACATGAAAGACCTTGAATTGTTTTAAAGGGATTTATAGGGCCATAATTTGGCTTGCCTTTTTTCTTTGTATCTGTTTCCCTGTATCCATTTATATGTGGGTTTTGTCTTCAAAACAACTGCCTGTGTGGTGGCTATTCCACCTGTACAGCCCTTTGGCACTCAAAAGTTGCCTCCTGGTGGATCAGAATTTTATATGGGGTTTACATGCTGTCTAGCAATCTACACCGACCATAAGATTTTGGGTTGTTTCTTTCCACTCAGATTGTTACTGACCGATGTGTTTCATATTTTCAAGTGGAGTGTAATTTTAAATGGTGAAAAATATCTTGACAATTTTCTGTTCTTGCCTTTCTTTGCCTCTCTTCCGAATAAGCACCATGTTTAATCTGTTTCTTGTCCAAGCAAGCAGCCAAACCTGGCATGACATCACTTTTAGACTGAGTTAGTGTCTGTCTGGGGTCTTTTGCTACTCTGTGTAACAGCAGAAGTCTGATGTAGTGGACTGTGCCATTAATGTTTTGAGTTGCCTGAGTCTTGTATTAGTTTTTATGAATTTAACATTTAGTTCCTTTTGCCATGCTAGAGCGAACCTCCCACACAGGCCCCAGTTGCCAAGAGGCCTGCTCAGCTGCCTAAGAAGCCAACACAAGTTGTTAAGCCAATTATGGTGCCATCTGCTGTAGCCCAGGAAGAGCACTCTTCTGAGAGTGTGAAAAAAGTTACATCACCATCCACTCCTGTAACAGCACCAGACAAAGCTGTATCGAACGACCATCTCCCTTTAGCCGGTAAGGATGAAGAGATGATCACTCCCAGCAATCCACATGCCGGTCCATTTGGACCAAACATTCTTAATGTTTTCTTAAAGTTTTGGGAAAAAATACTGCCTGTAGACATGAATGTGTGGCTCTGGTTCACTTCAGGAGGAGCACCACTCCATTTTGGGGGAGCAGATCCTAATCAGTTATGCAGTTTTGTTTCCAGGAGGCAAAGTGGGTGACTAGAAAGATGATGGGTTCATTAATTCTGATGCAATAAACTTATTGATTCATAATGCTTAACTGAGGCATCTCTGCTGACTACGGAACTCAAAATGAATTCACACAAGTTTGTTGAGCTTGCTAGTCCAGACAGCTGGCTGATTGAGTGCAGTATCGTGTGTCTCACAGTGGCTAATGCATAGTATTTCTCTCTTTCTTTCCATCTGAGGATCTCAAACTGGCTCACAAATGGTAATGAATTAATCCTTATTACCTTCCTGTCAGGTCAGTAAATGCCTGCCTGTACAATATTCATTTTACTGCTGTGAAAACAGAGTCAAAGTGAGTAAGTTTGACATGCCGAAAGCTGCACAGTAAGCTTGTGGCTTACTGGGAATGGGATCCAGGCTTCTTGATTGCCAATGCTGAGCCTTAATCATACGCCTAGTCTTCTTTTCTCATTCTACATTTGGAAAATTCTTCAAAGCAAAGCACACCTTTCACAGAGCCCCACTGGCCATTTGTGTAATGGAGAGCTTCTTGGGAGTGAGGCTGTGTTCCTGAATGCTATAGCAACTAGCTCACACCATCCTCTCTTCTGAGTGAAATTCTGTGGTGTGTGTTATGCAGGAGGTCAGGCTAGATTATCTGTGTGTATGGTCTCTCAAGCCTTAAAATCTGTGAGTCTGCATTAGATTTGGCTTCCTCATTTTTGCTGCTATAGCTGCGACGTTAATGATCATTTCAGTGTATAAATGGAGTTCCTCAGATGTAATTAGTCAGTTATGGAATTGAGGCTCCTCTCCCTTTCATTAAAATATTAAGATAATACCTGCTCTCTGCAGCCCAGCTGATGGTTGTTACGTAGCACTTACCCACATTTCTCTCCTCAGTGCTTTAATTATTCTACAGTAAAAAAGAGTACCAGGAGCCGGGACAGATCCACCCTGCAGGAGGTGCCAATATCTTGCTTTGGTAAAGCTAGATTAGGGTAACCAACATGTGCCCTGCACAAGCCAAGTGTGGCCCCCAGAGTCATACAGTGCCACCCTCAGCTGCCCATACTTCACATATGTCAGAGATGATGTGACACCATGCCATGCTCATCTTGCTGTGTATATAAGCTGGCTTTAGGCTCCCATACCAAAGTGACCTTCAGTGGAGCAAAGCTGGAGCATCCCTGAGCTGGTATGTCCCTTCTCCTCTTGAAGGATGATGCATTTGGAAAAGGCAGCTTCATTTAAGGCCTGCAATGCAAAGGCACCCACTATGAAAGATGGGGGTGCAGAGGGATACCAAGGTTTTGCTTAGTCCACTCTCTGCAGAGCCTGCATGAAAATACCTTTTCCTTCTCTAAACCCCACTGAGCACACTGTATTCTGGCTGCTTTGGCTAAGTTAAAACCAGAGCAAGCAACATTGTCTGATTGGTTTGGATTTGGATGACTGGGCAAATTGCACACAACAGTGATGCTGCCAGCTCCACTGTGAAGATGGGACTATATGTCAGTCAGTATATTCTTTCTGGTATTAATAGTGCTATCAGCCTGCTCTGTGTATTTGTATGGTGAGAAAACTACCTTCTGCAAGTGCATAGCTTGTGTAATTGCATTTGGATACCGCAATAGGTGGACACAATATAAGACTCTAGGGAAACAGAGGTAGTCGACCCACTACACTACACCCTCTATGTCAAGAAAAGTGTGGAGAAAGTAGGATATGGTGCACGGGTGATGTAAATTAATCCTTCCTGAGTCTTAAAACTGTACCAGCTGTTCAGGGATGGTGGTGACCCAAGAAGTAGTAACAGTGGGATATAAAAAGGCAGGAAGAGGGATGAGCTATGATGGTTGTGGTCTCATGTGCCTTCCAATGAAGTAATTTTGTCATTGAGGTCAATGTGTTTGCTTTCTCTGGTAAGTTGAGAGAGAAGAAAAGTATGTGTATAAAGAAAGTATACAATATATTGCGTGCACATATACAGATAACGCATCATTCAACTATGAGGTGTTTTTAGAAGATAGAACATGGAACTGGGAAGTCAGCTCAAGTTTTAAATCCAGGTCTGCAGCTGACTTTCACAGCTCTTCAGTAGCCTTGCACGAGTCATTTAACCTCTGTTTTCCCCTTCTGTAAAATGGGGACAATAATTTGTACCTACCTCACAGGTTTATTGTAGTGCTTTAAATAAAAGTTTGTTGGTTTGTAAATTGCTTTAGGATTCCGTGATGGAAAAAATGGAAATTAGTATTACTTTTGTACTAGTATACAAGTGGAACTAACCATGGTGTGACTATTGCATATCAACCACACAGACAAGTGTTTTCAGCTGGTACCTGGGCTTTGACTCTTTCCACAGTATAAATCAAACAGAATGAACGTGGTGCATTGACATGGTTATGTCAGATAAGTGTTTTATATAGCTGTTCCTTTTCAGCAAGTGAACAGCTAGAATTTCTGGAGAACAGGAAGAAGCAATACTTGAAGGCTGCGATCAAAGCAAAGCAGCAGAATGACCTTGAACAAGCCAAGCTGTATCTCAGGACAGCAAAGAACTTAGACCCAAAGATTGAGATGGCAAAAAGCGGCAAATCTGTTGATATTTCCAAGGTTAGTAGAGACTATAAAGAAAATGTTCTGCTTTGCTCCTTGGGCATCTCAAATCTCCTGTTGCTTGCATAAATCTAAGAATGCTTTAAAACTTAATGTTTCTCATGTGAATTCAGTGCTGGTGAAAGGTGCCAGATTGACAGCTCTAGAAACGGATGTTTTCCACATAGCTACAGAACAGGCAATGGCAGTGCAAGCTCCAGTCATAGTGCTGTTCTTCCTCCTCCTCCCCTATAGCCCAAAAGTGCCCGATCCTGACCTGAAGGAACCACCTCTGGGGGGGAGTGGGGAGTTTAGGCTTCATGACCCATTTGCTCCCTGGCCTCAAAGATGCTACTTTGAGACAAATAACTGTAATCTTAACAGCTGAGCTGAGACCACCAGCTCGTATTGCATGGACAGTCATCACTTGGTGGCAACTAACAGATGGATTGGAACCAGTGACCTAGAGTGAGATGCCATATCCCTTTGTCACTGTCCGCACCCACCTTCCCTGATCTCCTCACACTTTTCCCATCCCCCCCTTGCTGCTTTTGTTCTGCTTTCGTGTTCCTGCAAGGAGCTCTGATGTGCCATGTTGTGTGGTATTGTGCAGCTACCATCACCCCCTACAGATGATGAGAGTGACTTTATCTTCATACACCATGAGGATGTCAAACTCTCTCAGAAGGCAGAAGAGGTGTACACTCAGCTCATAAAACTGCTAAAGGACCAGCATGAGGTAACTACCTTTTCCTTTCAGTGCATCATTATTTAAGAATCCAGCGATGGAAGAAATGCTTTGTATGATTTATAGTGTTTCTTTGGCTTTTGCTGCTGCTGTGATCATGATCCCATCATTGTTTAGGTAGGATTTTCAGCTCCTATTTAAAAATGTTGATTTTATATAAGCCCTTTGACCAGCATTTTCAAATATGGTGTTTATAGTTAGGCACCTAAATCAATGGCCTGTTTTTCAGAGGTCCTTCCATTTGAAGTCAGTGGGAGCCCTTGTGCTCTGCACTGCTGCAAATCAGGCCATTGGTTTAGGTGTCTAATTTTGGACACCCAAGTTTGAAAACATTAGCCTTAATCCTTAGGGCACAGCTAATCCTGGGGTGAATGCCATGTCTAAAACTATTAGAGGAAAAAGTGACAGAAGGCAGAGGAAACTAAGCTAACACTGTATTTGGTTTGGTTTTGTTTGTTTTAAATGGCGGGGAGGGGAGATGGAGTCACCTGTAGAGATTTGGACAAACTGGGAGTCGTTCTTTGAGTGATGTCCCTATGGGTGCTGCACTTGTAAGTGCGGCAGCACCCCCTGTGGCTGGGATCAGAGATATTCATCAGCAGTGCCCATCGGATTACACATATACAAACCTCCCCCCATTGCACTGTGCATGGGAATTTATATATAGCACTGCAATCCGACCGCCCCCAGTTCCCTCTCTACTGCTTCTGGTCTGAGACGGAATTCGCAGCAGTGTAGTATTTTCTTCTTCTTCTCTTTTCCTCTTCTATCCTAAAAAAAAGTTTTTTTTTTAATTTTGTCTTTACCTTTACAGTTCTTTAATAGTTTGAGTGTCTGTTTTTCCCTGCTTCCCACCCTTCCCGACTGGGAAGCCTTTCCCTCCACCCTTATGCCCAGATCCTCTGGGTTTAAGAGGTGCATTTCTTGAGGTGCCGCCTTCCCCGCCACGGATGGCCACACTCAGTGTATCCACTGTCTGGGAGAGGGACACTGTGATGGATTGAACCCCCCCGTCCGGGGTGCCGCCTGATGTGTTGGGGTCCCACTGGTTCCACCAGCCTGGGTTTCCTCACCCTGTCTGAGCTGTGCCAGGCCCTCAAGCCTTCTCTAGCGCACACACACAGGTAAGGCCACTCCCAGCTGCAGACACAGACTAAAATCAGCTCTATGTGCGAAGACTCAGCTTGGGGATTTACTCACCACTCGTGCACACCTCCTTTGGAGTGTAAACCCAAAATAATATTGTCTTGCGCTGTATGGAGAGATCTGCACAGTGCAAACTCATAAAAATTGCCCCCTCCCTCAATGTGGGGAGAGAGATGCATAGCTTTTTGCTCCCCCAGATATGAATTGTACAAACTGGGATTTGTAATAAACATAAATAAGTTTATTAACTACAAAAGGTAAATTTTAAGTGATAAAAGGGATAGCAAATAGCAGAACAAAGCAGATTACTGAGCAAATAAAACAAAACACACAAATTAAGCTTAATACACTCAAGAAACAGGTTACAAAATGTAATTTCTCACCCTAAATGTTGTTTTAGGCAGGTTGCAGAGTTTCTCTAGCTTAGAGTTCCAGTTATTTCTCTCGGCAGACTCAGCCCCTGCCTTTCCCTTCAGGTGTTTTTAGCAATCTTCCTTCTTGTACGGGGAGGCAATGGAGAAGAGTCCTGAATGCCTTACTCCCCAGCCTTAAATAGAATTTATGTAAGGCAGGAACCCTTTGTTTCCACTGGAAAAATACCAGCAGTGTCCAAGGTGGTATTCTGTACCAGGTGATATCCTCAGATGACCCTGCAGTGTCAAAACAACATCCCAGGAAGCTCCTTAGGAAGGTGGGAGATTAATATCTTCAAAAGTTCTATTGTCCATCTTAAATGGCTCATTCAGGCTGATTGCCTACTGTCTGGTGGGCGTTCCCCCAAGTACACACACAATTGTAATTGTTACATAGTCAATATTCCTAACGTCAGATACAGAAATGATACATGCATACAAATTGGATAAACACGTTTTGTAGATCATAACCTTTTAAATGATACTTCACATGACCCATCTTGCATAAAATATATTTTAGTTATGCCATATTCATATTATAACAAGATTTCTATGAAGAATGTGGGGTGTAACGTCACAGACATGTCCTGCAAAAGTGTTCCCGCTGCCTTGGCCTGACACCCAGGACCAGAAGGGACCAAGACATTAGATTGAAACTCCTCCTTATGTAGAATTTGCTTTGGCTGGCATTGAGCCCGGGCCCAGACTCTTCCCCAGACAGGCCCTCATGCTCTTCCAGGTCATCTGCTGATCCTCACTCTCCCCGTCCCCTGAAGAGAATGTCATCCCTTGCTCATTTGGATGTCAATAAACGGATTTTCTCCTCACAGTCTGAGGCACAGCCCACCAGAATGCTGTCCCTGGCGAGGTCTGTTACCTCAGCCTCATCTGACGGGGGACACAGCTCCAGTGCTCGTCTGAGTACCTCCGGTACCGGCTCAAAGAAATGGTCTAAATGGTCTTAACCGAGCAGATCTACGGCCCTTGGCAGTATTTCCCAGCTCTAGGGAGACCAAGCCAAGCTGCCCTCAGGAGCTCCTGCACCAATGCCGTTTTTGGCACCAAGTAAGACCTTGGCACTAGCGAAATCGTTGGCATCGACCTAGTCAGCAGCACCGAGCAAACCAGTGGAACTAGTCTAGCCTCCAGCGCCATCTACCGATGTCTCAGGGACATACATCTTCCTTCGGTGTTGTGTCTTCCATCAGCACCGATGATGCTTCTTCCCCCCCACCCCACCCCCCAAGATTTCAGATACCCAACGGACCTGTTGGTCTCTGACACTCTTGAGTCTCCTCTTATGCAGTGTGACCTCCCCCACTTCCACCTTCCTCTCCAGACTCACGCCACTCCTCCCTCTCTCCACCAAGAATGGCACCTCCCTTCCCTAGTGATGAGGAAGAGGCGAGGGCTCTATTGTTCCCTTGACTACACGGCAACTCGTAACTGCCTATCCTCACTATACACAATCTCCCGCTGGTCCTCAAGCCTGGCAGTGGCCACCATGGATGCAACCATGGGGGGAGGGATAGCTCAGTGGTTTGAGCATTGGCCTGCTAAACCCAGGGTTGTGAGTTCAATCCTTGAGGGGGCCACTTAGGGATCTGGGGCAAAATCAGTACTTGGTCCTGCTAGTGAAAGCAGGGGGTTGCACTTGATGACCTTTCAGGGTCCCTTCCGGCTCTATGAGATAGGTATATCTCCATATATTATTATCAACCACGTGTGACACTCCCACCAAACTGGCCGTATTATGACCGTTGGGCTGTGTACAGGGCACAGTTGGTGAACCCTACCAGGGAGTCTGAACGGAGACCTACACTTCTCCCTTCTCCATCGGCCTCTCACCCTTAAGAGGTTGAACTACCGCTGGCACCAAATGAACAGGAAGAACATGAGGAGGAGGAAGTTCCACCAATCTTACGTTTTTCATTCTCACCTGATGAGGCTATCATGCCCCCACCACCCACATCTGCCGACGACTTCAGACACTTTCAGAAGTTATTCCACAGGGTTGCAGAATCTTTACAGATCCTATTGGAGGAAATTAAAGACCAGCAGCATAAACTGTTGGATATACTTCATACATTCTCTTCTCCCAAGATCACACTGTGATCAGTGAGGCTCTTCTCGACCCCCACAAAGGTTTTGTGGCAGACCCCAGCGTCTATTCCACCAACCTACAAATGCACCATCAGGAAATATTATGTTCCAGGGAAGGATTCGAAATTCTTATTTTCGCACCCCATCCCAAATTCTCTGGTGGTCAGTGTGGTGCAAGAGAGAGGCCATAAATTCCAATCCCATTCTAATAATCCAGATAGAGATAGGAAACCTCAAGATCTATTTGGATGCCAGGCCTATTCATCAGCCACGCTCCAGTTAGGGGCACTGCTTTCTAGTTAGCTGCAAGTGGAGCACCCATAGGCACATCACTTGAAGAAGAAGAGAAGGTTACTCACTCTGTGCAATAACTGAGGTTCTTTGAGATGTGTGTCCCTATGGGAGTTCCATTACCCACCCTCCTGTCCTCTGCTTCGGAGCCGAAAACATAAGCTCTGTGGCAGAGAAGGAACTGGGGGTGATCAGACTGCACAGAGCTATATATACGTCCTGCGCACGGTGCGAGAGGGGGAGGTGCGCATGTACGGTCCGATAGGCACTATTGATGAAGATCTCCGATCCCGGGCGCAGGGGGCACTGCTGCATCTACAAGTGGAGTACCCATAGGGGGACACATCTCGAAGAACCTCAGTTACTGCACAGCGTGAGTAACCTTCTCTTCTCTTCTTCTGTGTAACATGCAGGTCCTCGATCTGAAATCTTTCTTCAGAGATGTGTAGCATGGGATAATCATTGTTACTTATTTTTTCTGTTAATAGAAATGTTTGCAGTATTCCAGGCAGTTCATGCATCTGGGAAACATAACTGAAACAGCCCGGTAAGTCTGCTGCTACCATCTGTATTTATCACGTCATGTGGTCACTTCTTCCCTGGGTCTACGCGGAACAGGGGCTGCCATGCTTTCCAGTACAAAAGGAGATTGGTGTTTGTGGGCTGTTGGTCACTGATTTACTTGTGGTGTGAGGTGGTGAAGCTGAGTGAATCAGTCTGTGTCTTGTACCCAGTGAAATACTGTGTGCTGTCCTTGGGTGGTCTCCACCACTGCTTTACAGGTTTGAAAAACTGGCACAAGGATGTAAAAAGGACCTGGAGATTCTGCAACTTGCACAAGCCCAGGGAATGGATCCCCCCAGCCATCACTTTGAGGAGAGAACCTTTAAAATAATAAGGTATGAAAAGTCAAAGCGTATCCTTGTCAGTCTGGGATGGAATACTAATTTCTAATCCATGTACAGGGGATAGAGGGTTTTAACTCCCATCAGAGCAAACAAGAGGTAGGCACTCAGAACTGCTCCACATTCCTAAGAAAAGACTTCTAAAAATTTAAGGATTCTTCGGATTTATTAAGTAGCTGTTTCACAACTTCCATTTTAGGTCTCTTTATTGCAAAGACAAATCCAGCTGCATCTTCCCCCAACTCTCCCTGCTTTAACCATGTTTTTTCCCCCAGAACTGATGTCTTTAAGGATCCTGTCTTTTGCATCCTTCACAATGCTATCTGTAACCCAGATCCAACACAGAACCAAAAAACTGATGCCTTTGCCTGTTTCCACTTTGCCTTCCCTCTCCTCTCCAATTCTTGAGTTGAGATTTATGTAGAAATAGGCTTTTCTCCAGGACTCTCATTCCCTTTCATGTTTGCCAAGTGTCATGTCTCTGAACTACAGCAGTGGAATCGTGGCCTTTCAGTGGGCTGGGAAATGCCAGGCTACTAGACTCAATCTGTATTTTGTATCTCTTCTTCCCTCTCCAGGATATTTTCTGAACTCAACAGTACGGAAATGCATCTTATCATTGTCAGGGGAATAAACCTGCCAGCTCCCCCAGGTAATGAACAGGAAACATATCCTGATCTCTAGCCTTTCTCTCAGACCATAGGGAGGTTAGTGGTGGGGAATGAAATTTCTTTGCCCTAGGGATAATACGGTGACTTTAGGGTGACCAGGTGTCTGATTTTCGACTGGAACACCCAGTTGAAAAGGGACCCTGGTGGCTCCAGTCAGCTCAGCACCGCCGATCGGGTTGTTT